TCATCTGGGACTAAGAGGATAGAGAATGGTAGGAGCTGCAATTCCTCCAAACATTCATATTCAAAAAAGCCCCCAAAGCCAGGTGTGGTGTTGCAGGCCTATTACCCCAGCCCTCAGGAGGCTGAGGCAGGAAGATCATGAGGCTGAGGCCAGAAAAAGAAAAAAAAAAAAACTGGGTAAGGGCTAAGAAAAGGCACAATTTCAGGGGGCCATATCAGGTTCTGGCCTCTTACTTTAAAACCCATGTATGTGTGAAGAAAGCATCTTAGAAATCAAGTACCAGTCTTTCTTGGGGAAGCAGATGCTGGTAGTAAGGTGTGACAGGAAGTGTGGTGAGATTGCATAGGACATGGTGGGTACAGAGAAAATCATTACTCCCCTCAAGTATGTTCCAGGACTTGTCAGGAAGGGCTTCCAAGAGGAGAAACTGCTTTAGTGAAAAACTAATAGTGACCGGAAAATAAAGAGTGTAAGGAAGATGTTCAGGCAGGGGAATGGAGCTAGCAGTAGCATGGAGGTGGTAAACAGCAGACAGCTGCCCCAGGTTGGGGTTTTCTTATCTGCTCCCTGTTGCATGATCACCCATGTTTCTGGAGACTTAGTGTCCCAACATGAACAGATGAGAGATCTGGGTCCAGGCTGCTTCTCACCTGACTTCCCACTGCCCTCAGGCACCTGGTAAATGCTGGAGTCCTCACTGTCCGTGATGCTGGAAGCTGGTGGCTAGCTGTGCCTGGAGCTGGGAGATTCATCAAGTGCTTTGTTAAAGGTCTGCAGCTTGAGCTCTCAGCTACTCAGGAGTATCCTTTGATGACTCTTTAGGCTTTATTCACCTTTTCCCTTTCCTGTGCCACCTCTCCTCCAGGGCGCCAGGCTGTCCTTGGCATGGTCCGGAAGGCCAAGTACCGGGAGCTACTCCTGTCAGAGCTCCTGGGCCGTCGGGCACCTGGCGCAGTGCGGCTTGGTCTTGCCTACCATGTTCATGACCTCATTGGAGCCCAGCTGGTGGACTGGTGAGTCTTGTCCCCTGGACTCTGACCTCTGACTTCTAATAGATGACATAACAGTAGCCCAGGGTTGGATTTCTTTCTTGCTTATGCTTGATTCACTAGCGAAGCCTCGTTTCTCTCTTATTCTTCTCCAGAACCCAGTAAGACCCCTTATCAAGTCCTGAGTTCTCTCATCTTGGGCCCAGGAGCTGACTCAGTCTTGTGTTTCTCCTACACAGTGTCTCTACCACTTCTGGAACTCTCCTCCGCCTGCCAGAGACATGAGGATTCTACTTGTTTCTGCTCACTGCCTTGGAGTGGGACTAGAGGGTCCTGGGAATGCTACCTAATGTGGTTGAGCCTGGGTCACCTTGGGAAGCCTGGGTACCAGGATGAGTGCTTGCTGGGCTATCGTGGGTAAAGAGGCCTGGCTAGGACTGCTGCTGCGAACCTGGGCTCTGACCCATGGTGGCATGTGGAGCCAGATTCTGTGCCAAGACCATAGCTGCTGCCTGTCATGGATGAAGGTGGGACTTCTGGGGAGGCTGGGAAGGAGGCAGAGCCCTCTGCCCTACATATTGGGTTGAAATTGCCAAATAAAGTGCTTCTGTCTGTGATATCTTCTGGATGTCCTTTGTTTAATGTGATGTGTGTGTTCAGGTGTCTCATTTTGGGCAGAGATGAAGCCAAATTTAGTCCTGATCTTTGCCTCATTGTTCAGAGAAGACAACGGCTAACTGATATTCAAGCTGCTTTCCCTGTAGGTAATGAGGATGCACCTGATCTTATGAACCACACGGTTTCTGTTAGGGCCAACAGAAAGCAAACAATTATATAGTTCAGTTTGGGTGGGGGTGAAAGTAAGAGGCAAGGGTTTTAGAAGCCCACCCTTGTCTTGTTAGGACCACATAAATGTCCCACATGTCTAGGCCATGTTGGGCCCCTGCAGGTTTATGCACAGCAAGTTCATGTTCACACATATTGTTCATGTTCACTCAATTGGAGGAGATACCCAGCACTGGGATGAGGGGGTTAACAGGGAGAGGACAAGATTCATTTCTGGGCCAAGATTTCTTCAGATTCCCTCAGAGACCCTGTTATCCAGGCTGCTCCCCCAACACTGGGCCTGGGGCCAGCTGCATTTCTTGACCATCACGTGGTTTCCCGGCTTAGCTGGGCTAAGGGGAGGAGCAAGGTCCAGAGTCAACGCTGCCCCAAGCCCTAGGTTGACCAGAAGGGAACAGATAGACAAACAGATCTAACCCCTCTTGGATTCATGAGCCATGAGGCTCCTCTGCGGGTTGATCTGGATGTCCAGCTTCTTCACCTTGTCGCTGCAGAAGCCAAGGTCCAGGGGAAGGTACTGGGTTCTTGGGTGGGGGCAGAGGTGGCAATGGGACCCTATTCAAGGGTGAGGAAGAGCCAGGGTGGACAGATCAGGCGGAGTCTGACTGTCAACCTTTGCCATTTTCCCTAGGTTGCTCCTGTTCTCTCCTTCTGTGGTTAATCTGGGAGTGCCCCTGTCAGTGGGGGTGCAACTCCATGATGTCCCCCCAGGACAGGTAGTGAAAGGATTTGTGTTCCTGAGAAACCCAAGTCATAATAATGATGCCTGTTCCCCAAAGAAGGACTTCACCCTCAGCTCAGAAAAAGACTTTCTACTCCTCAGCCTCCAGGTAACTGGTTCCCATACCCTTCTTCTTGTTTTTTAAGTGATTTTGTCTTCCTCACTGGCCTCCCTCCTCTTTTCCCACCTCAGAAGTGTCCTGGTGTTTCAGTCTTGGTCTCTGTCCTGGTCTCTGTCCATTTTCTTCTGCTCCGTTTCTGACCCACTCTCTCCTTCTTCTGGTAGGTCCCTATTGAAGACGCAAATAGCTGTGGCCTCTTCAAACTGCGCAGAGCCCCTGAGGTCCAGCTAGTAGCCCAGTCTCCATGGCTAAAGAATTCTCCATTAAAAGACACAGATAGTCAAGGTGTCAACCTGCTCTTCTCCTCTCGCCGGGGGCACCTCTTTCTGCAGACTGATCAGCCCATTTATAACCCTGGCCAGCGAGGTGAGCCTCAGCCCCAGGGCCTTTACTTTAATTCCCTCCCTGCCCTCTCAGGACATGACTGGTGCTCCTTATGTGAGGTAACCTGAAAGAAAGCTCCACACTGGAGGGTTGCTTAGCAAATACTAGCTTCGCCTCACTCCCTGGAATTGGGCCCACCTCCCTTTGCACATAGACTCCTGGTTAATTAACCTCTCTCATCTCTACTCCCAGTTAAATACCGAGTCTTTTCACTGGATCAAAAGATGCGTCCAACCACTGACCCCCTCATAGTCTCAGTGGAGGTGAGTCTCTGACCTCTGGCCTTCCTGACCCTGATTACTGATGTGACCTCCCACCTGAGACCACTTGTAATGCCTTTGCAGAATTCTCATGGTCTCCTTGTGCGGAAGAAGGAGATATACGTTTCCTCATCCATCTTCCAGGATGACTTCCTGATTCCAGACATCTCAGAGTGAGCTCCCTCAACTAGAGGATGGTTCTTCATTTACACCACTCTTAATTCTCCTCTCCCTTGGGGTTCTCTGCCTCCAATAGACAGTTACATTCCAGATGCCCTGCCTCTGTCCCATTTGATTCTCTGGTTTACCTTTATAGTCTTCTTCCTGAGGATTCAGGCCACTGGCTTTCTGTGCACAGGGCTGAGTCCCTTCCTTATATGTCTTCAGGCCAGGGACCTGGAAGATCTCAGCCCGATTCTCAGATAGCCTGGAATCTAACAGCAGCACCCAGTTTGAAGTGAAGAAATATGGTAAGCACTGGAGACATGAAGGGCAGGCAGCTCCTTTTGTGAAGGAAACAAGGGGTGGAAGGAGAGGTGGTGGCACCAGGACAGCCCTGAGGGGAGGGGAGTCTTTGAAGGGTCCTTTCATGAGGGCCTGACCCACCTGTTCCTTCATTCTGGGTCAGTCCTTCCCAACTTTGAAGTGAAGATCATCCCTGGGAAGCCCTACATTCTGACAGCACCTGACTACCTTGGTGAAATTCAATTAGACATTCAGGCCAGGTAACACCCACTCCCCTGCCAGGTCCTGCTCCCCATGCATATGAACAGACTGTGGATCCCGGTTTGCTTCCCTCCCAGATTATTTCCCCAAGCCCTTGGCCCACCCTCTTCCCCATCTCTTTGTGGCACCAGGTACATCTATGGGAAGCCTGTGCGTGGGGTGGCATATGTGCGCTTTGCACTTTTGGATGAGGATGGTGAAAAGACTTTCCTTCGGGGACTGGAGACTCAGACCAAGGTAGGAAGGAGGTGGGGGAGATAGGGAGGAGGAGAGGCAGGGAGCTCCAGTCTCACCCCACTTATTTCTCCTCTGCCCCAGTTGGTGGATGGCCAGAGCCACATTTCCCTCTCAAAGGCTGAGGTTCTGGGTGCCCTGGAGAAGCCTAATATTAATATCATTGACCTTCTGGGGCTGCGTCTCTATGTTGCAGCAGCCATCATTGAGTCTCCAGGTGGGTGACTTTCCTTTATTATAACCCCAGCCCCTTACCTCTGACCTCTGAACTGGCTGTTAGTTAGCTTTCTATTACTGTAACAAATACTTGAGACAATCAAGTATTTTGGCTCAGGATTTTGGAGGTTCCAGTCCATGATTTGCTGGCCCTGTTGCTTTTGGGCCTGTGGCAAGACAGTACATCCTGGCAGGGAATGTGCGATGGAACAAAAAGTTCACCTCAAGCCAGGAAGCAAAAGAGAGGAAGAGGAAGGGACTGGGGTCCATTATCTTCTTTGAAGGCAATCCCAATAATCTAATGACTTCCTATTAGGCCCCACCTTGTAAAGGTTTCACCACTTCCTAAGACTGCCATGCTGGGGACTAAGCCAGGACCTTTGGGGGATGTTTAAGATCCAAATTATAGCCCCGGCCCTGTTCTTTAGTACAGTACCACCCCTGACTTCTGCCACCTCATCTCAGGCCCCAAAATGGAACCCAGGAGATGCCATCTCTCTGTGATTCTGCCTCTTTGCCCATCTCAGTTAGCTAGTTAGTTAGTTAGTTAGTTTGTTTATTTACTTATTTTTGCTCATTCAGTCATTTATCCCCACTCTCTCATCCAGCAGATGTATGTTACACACATCTGGGTGCCAGGTCCAGTGCTGGACCTCAGCAAGTGTAGAATATGAGTCAGCCTGTACCTTAAGGAGCTCATTGTCTGTGGAGGAAAATGCTAAAGCCTCCCCTTCACCCTCCTGCTCCTCTCTTCCTGTTCTGTCCTCCAACTCTCTCTGCCCTTTGTCTTATAGGAGGAGAGATGGAGGAGGCAGAGCTCACATCCTGGCGTTTTGTGTCATCTGCTTTTTCCTTGGATCTTAGTAACACCAAGCAACATCTTATACCTGGGGCCCCCTTCCTGCTGCAGGTTTCTTCTGGAGGGGCAGGATTGGAGGGGAGTGGATGCTGGTCAGAAAGGCCCACCATCTCCTTGACCATTCTCTTTCACTGGCCCCTCCCATCCCCACCTAGGCGCTGGTCCGGGAAATGTCAGGCTCCCCAGCTTCTGACATTCCTGTCAAAGTTTCTGCCACTTTCTTTTCTGGACACGTTTCTAAAGTTGAAGACTTTCAACAAAACACAGATAGGATTGGCCAAGTCAGCATTCCCATCATTGTCCCACAGACCACCACAAAACTGCAACTCTTGGTAGGGCTCCTCTGACCTGTGGGGACAGTGGGGGAAGGGAAGAAGGATGAGCTGCCTCATGAGGGTCCATGGCCTAGCTTGGGAGGAGGGGTGGAGTGCATGGTTCCTTGCCATTGACCCTGCCCCAATGTGCCTCTCTCTTCAGGTGTCTGCAGGCTCTGTCCATCCAGCCACAGCCAGTTTCACGGTGCAAGCCCCACCCTCAGGAAGCGCTGGCTTTCTGTCTATTGAGCGTTTGGATACTCAGCCCCCTCGTGTTGGGGACACTCTTAACCTAAACCTGCGAACTGTGGGCATCAGCGGGGCTACCTTCTCTCATTACTACTACATGGTGGGCATAACTGGGGAGTATAGCAGGGCTGGGGTGCAGGAAAGCCCTCTGGACCAGCCGGGTGCAGGTCCAGGACTGGGGGTATACAATGAAGAGAACAACATTTTTGCTTCCTGTCTTGGTTCAGATCCTATCCCGGGGTGAGATCGTGTCCATGAATCGAGAGCCCAGGAGGACCCTGACCTCAGTCTCTGTGTTTGTGGACCATCACCTGGCACCCTCCTTCTACTTTGTGGCCTTCTGCTATCATAGAGGAATCCTAGTGGCCAATTCCCTGCGAATTGATGTCCAGGCTGGGGCCTGTGAGGGCAAGGTGACTGGTGTTGGAAGAGATATTGTGTGCGTTAGGGGGATTAAGAAAGGAGGAGGACAGGGTGACTGCCCGCAGGGCATAGATTTAGTCTGAGGTGCACTGAGGATGAAAAAAGATCTCCTTATTCTAACTACCTCTGACCTCCTGCCTCTGCCAGCTGGAGCTCAACCTGGATGGTGCCAAGGAGTATCGCAACGGGGAGAGTATAAAGCTTCACTTGCAAACTGATTCCCTGGCCCTGGTGGCATTGGGAGCTGTGGATACAGCTCTATATGCTGTGGGTGGCAGGTTCCACAAACCTCTCAACATGGGCAAGGTTTGTCAAACCCTTCTCCCAGTCCTCCCACCCTCATGCCTCCTTCCCCTTGCTGTTCTGAGCCCAAATGCCAAGTTCAGTCCCTAAATCTCCCCATGAACCCCTCCCAGTCTTCCCTCAGGGCTTGGGCTTCACTCACACCTTCTCTCAGCTGTGGTCTCTATTCCCCAACACTGCCCACCCCCCACCCCCACCCCCATCATACCTGTATGTCCCCTTCTCTCTCACCCATAGCTGAGTGATCTGCCCTTCAGCTACCTATGTCTTCCAGAATCCCTGCCTTTTTTTGTTAGGTCTTTGAAGTTATGAACAGGTATAACCTTGGCTGCGGTCCTGGTGGTGGAGACAGTGCCATTCAGGTGTTCCAGGACGTGGGTCTGGCCTTTTCTGATGGAACCCAGTTGACCCCAACAAGAGAGAGTGAGAACGGAAGCAGAAAAGTACTGAGTGGGGGAAGATAAGAGAGGAGGAAGAACCTGTGGGGCAAGGAATAGAGAGGAGGGAAGGCTAGGCAGAAGAAGAGAAAGGGAGGCTTGAGGCGCTCACTCTATGACTTATCTGTGGTCTTGCTTTCTACCAGGCCTGAGCTGTCCTAAGGAGAAGAAAACCCGGCAGAAGAGAAATGTGAACTTCCAAAAGGCAATTAGTGAGAAGTGTGAGTTGTAGGTGCTTATGAATCTACTTAAGCTTTCTGGGATCAGGATGGGAATCTGCCTCTCTACCCTTCTACACCTCAGTGAGCCAATATAGGTGTTTGGAGCTGGAGAGCCAAGTTCTGGGGTTGAAGGTGGGTTGGCGGGTGTTTCTCTCCATTGCCTTTTATTATGTTCTCTAAGCAGGTCCTGGTGGGTCTAGGTGGTGTGGTGTTTGCTCATGCTTACCTCCGCTCCCCTGGTCCTGTAGTGGGCCAGTACGCTTCCCCAGCTGCCAAGCGTTGCTGTCAGGATGGGCTGACGCGACTACCTATGGCACGCTCCTGTGAGCAACGGGCAGCTCGAGTGCCACAACTCGCTTGTCGGGAGCCCTTCCTGTCCTGTTGCCAGTTTGCTGAGAGCCTGCGCAAGAAGATCCGGGCTGGGGGCCGGGTGGGCCTTGCCCGAGGTGAGGGGCCAGGTGGGGTTGCAGAAGAGGCAATGGTACCTGGAAGGGCAGAATTGCCCCTCCTCACTCCTGTTCTCCATGGTCCCTAGTCCTGGAGGCCCTGCAGGAGGAGGACCTGATTGATGAAGATGACATTCTTGTGCGCAGTTTCTTCCCAGAAAACTGGCTCTGGAGAGTAGAGACTGTGGACCGCTCCCAAACGTGAGTGCCTGGGGGTCCTGGCCTTGTCTCTGGGCTGTGTCTGTGGCCAGCCTAGGGTGTGACAGGGCTTCTCCACCTGTCCTGCCACAGATTAACACTCTGGCTCCCCGACTCTCTAACCACATGGGAGATCCATGGTGTGAGCCTATCCAAGAGCAAAGGTGAGGTCACCCTGCCTGGGTCTCAGGCTGCCCATCTTCCATTTCCCCTGACCCAGGCTCCCTGCTTAGCCCTTTGCTCTCAGCATACAAAGAGGGTCCAGGGATCTGGGGAAGACCGTACCAGCATGCACATGGCCTGGGCCAGAGAGCAGGGCCAGGCTGAGGGCAGGGATGAGGAATCACTGAGTCACTCCCTGCCCCACCTCCTGTGGCACTGAGGCCTTTATGTCTCCCTACCCATCTCTGATCTCTGCCCTCCCCCATCCTCCACCCTTCAGGTCTGTGTGTGGCCACACCAGCCCGTCTCCGAGTGTTTCGTGAGTTCCACCTACACCTCCGCCTGCCTCTCTCTGTCCACCGCTTTGAGCAGCTTGAGCTGCGGCCTGTCCTCTACAACTACCTGGATAAAAACCTGACTGTGAGGCCCTGTGGGAGCCTGAGCACACAGGGTTAGGGAGCCAGGGACAGGTGGAGTAGGGAGCCTAACTGCACTGGGCCTGGGGCTTTCCCTGTTTTCCTGCCCCCAGGTGAGCGTCCATGTGTCCCCAGTGGAGGGGCTGTGCCTGGCTGGAGGTGGAGGGCTGGCCCAGCAGGTGCTGGTGCCTGCTGGCTCTGCCCGCCCTGTTGCCTTCTCTGTGGTGCCCACAGCAGCTGCTGCTGTGTCTCTGAAGGTGGTGGCTCGAGGGTCTTTTGAATTTGCTGTGGGGGATGCAGTATCTAAGGTTCTGCAAATTGAGGTGAGTGGAGCACCCCCAAATCCAGGTCCCCAGGCTCCCAGTTATATCCCCCATAGCACTCTTCTGGCTGGGCCAGGGGTCCAGTACCTAAACCCAACAGTTTGGGCACTTTACATCTCCTATAATTGTGTCCCAACTCTGTCCATAAAGTTTAAATTCAAAGTCCTGGGGGCACTGGCAGGGCAGGCTGTAGTCCTGTGTGATCTCTCACAGCCACATTTCCCCCGAAACAGAAGGAAGGAGCCAAACACATAGAGGAGATGGTCTATGAACTCAACCCCTTGGGTGAGTGACCCCCTACCCAAGTTCTCTGATCCCTAAGGGGGTTGCAAGGCTTGGAGGATGTAGATGGCAGGATAGACTGCCAGCTTCTTCTCCTATCTCCCCAGACAACCAAGGCCGCAGCTTAGAAATTCCTGGCAACTCAGATCCCAATATTATCCCTGATGGAGATTTCAACAGCTTTGTCAGGGTTACAGGTGGGGAATGTCATTCAGTCCTTCTCTGGTGGGCACCCTGGACTCATGTGAAGCCTGTGGACCCCTATTTTGATCCTCTCATCCTCAACTTTTCCTTTTTTTCCTCTGTAGCCTCAGATGCATTGGAAACTTTGGGCTCTGAGGGAGCCTTGTCCCCAGGAGGCCTGGCCTCCCTCCTGAGGCTTCCCCAGGGCTGTGCAGAACAAACCATGATCTACTTGGCTCCAACACTGGCTGCTTCCCGCTATCTGGACAAGACAGAGCAGTGGAGCAAACTGCCCCCTGAGACCAAGGACCGGGCTGTGGATCTGATCCAGAAAGGTTCTTGGTGCAGGGGCAGGCAGGAATGGGGTCTGAGAAGGGCAATTAATGGAAGAGGAGAAGCCCAGAAGTCTAGAGAGGGGAAGCAGGGGAATGGGGAATGTGGATTTGGGCACACAGAGCAGAAGAGTGGGTGTCAGCTTAGCAACTGCCTCTCTTCTCCAAGGCTACATGCGAATCCAGCAGTTTCGGAAGACAGATGGTTCCTATGGGGCTTGGTTACACCGAGACAGCAGCACCTGGTGAGGGGGAGTGCGGCTGTAGGTTTCAGAGGGGTCAGGGCAATGGGACGGTGAACAACCAGGAGCTGGGGGAGTAGGGCTGGGTCCCCAGAGGGACCACCCCTGTCCCCAGCCATTCCTTCTTCCCCTCTAGGCTCACAGCCTTTGTGCTGAAGGTTCTGAGTTTGGCCCAGGAGCAGGTGGGCGGGTCACCTGAAAAGCTGCAAGAGACAGCCCAGTGGCTGCTATCCCAGCAGCAGGCAGATGGCTCGTTCCAGGACCCCTGTCCAGTTATCCACAGGGGCATGCAGGTGCGGGTATACTGGAGGCTGGGCAAGGAGAGCCTGGCAGGACTATATCTGCCCCTCCTTGCTCCTGGCTGACATCCTCTTCTCTCCTCACTAGGGGGGGTTGGTGGGAAATGATGAGACCGTGGCACTTACAGCCTTTGTGGTCATTGCTCTTCATCACGGGCTGGCCGTCTTCCAGGATGAGAGTACAAAGCAGTTGAAGCAGAGAGTGGTAAGGAACCTGTATCCCCCAGCTGTTTTCTTTCTCCCAGGAACTTGGGCGTCCAGCCTTCACACCTTCTTCCCTGCTTTCTTTTAGGAAACCTCCATCTCAAAGGCAAACTCGTTCTTAGGAGAGAAGGCAAGTGCTGGGCTCCTAGGTACCCATGCAGCTGCCATCACGGCCTACGCCCTGACATTGACCAAGGCCTCCCAGGACCTGCGGAATGTTGCCCACAACAACCTCATGGCCATGGCCCAAGAGACTGGTGGTGAGGGACAAAGAGATCCGGGCAGTGGGCCTGGGGTTTAGGGGGCTTTGGGATCCCTGGATGTGCCCAGAGGGAGAGATAGAATGGAGATCCTGAGAAGGAATGAAAGCATAAGCAGGGAGGATTTGGAGGTAGAATCAGGAAAGCCTGACAGGGGTGCAAGGGACCAGGTGCCTAGGATCCTTTCCCCAGGTTCACCTGTGGGTTTTCCTTTTCCTTCCAGATAACCTATACTGGGGTTCTGTTATTGGGTCTCAAAACAATGTTGTGTCACCCACCTTGGCCCCACGTAGCCCAACAGATCCTGTGCCCCAGGCACCAGCCCTGTGGATTGAAACCACAGCCTATGGCCTGCTGCACTTGCTGCTTCGGGAGGGAAAGGCAGAGCTGGCTGACCAGGCTGCATCCTGGCTCACCCATCAGGGCAGCTTCCAAGGAGGATTCCGCAGCACCCAGGTAAGGGCTACCATGGGGCTTGGGGGCTTAAGGATGTGTGAGACCAATTGCCTGAGTTTTGGTCCAACTTTCTTAGGACACAGTGGTTACCCTGGATGCTCTGTCTGCATATTGGATTGCTTCCCACACCACTGAGGAGAGAGGACTCAATGTGACGCTCAGCTCCATTGGCCGCAGTGGGTTCAAGTCTCATGTACTGCAGCTGAACAACCACCAAATTAAGGGGCTGGAAGAGGAGCTTCAGGTGACCCACTCCCTCTCTGGGGTTGCCATTACACGGCCAGGCCAGAAGCCATTCCCACACTCTGGCCCTTTTCCTGAGGGTATCCTTGGAGAACTGACTTTCTGTGTGACCAAACTTCTGTGCTTTGCTTCTTTCACCTGTAAAATAATACATCTTCAGTCTACACCCGTTACCACCCTGAGTTTTAGCAGGCTGGAGAGAGATAATGCACTCAAAGGTGTAAACTTTTGGAAATATGAGGTGGGAGAGGACTTGGGGTTGTTTTGAAGGAGGAGGTAAAGTTGGAACAACAAACAGGTTTTCCTTTAACCTTCTGACATTTCTTTCCTTTTTCTGTTCCTGAAGTTTTCCCTGGGAAGCAAGATTAATGTGAATGTGGGAGGAAACACCAAAGGGACCTTGAAGGTGAGGCCAGCAGGAAAGTGGGGGGCTGGTGGGAGATAGAAGCCAGGCAAGGGGAGGACTGAGGCAGAGGAGGGAGGAGCTTCCATCTCACCCCTCTGATCTACTGTACCCATGTATGTGAGACTGACCTTCCCAAAACACCAGATTATCCTGGAAAAAAGTCAGACTCACCCACTACCCTGTGGCTCACACAGCTGGGTTTTGCCCACCTGCTCCAGCCATATTTTTCATCTACACACATCTCCTTACCTGTCCTCCCCCTGATTCTTGTCCCATGGGATAAGTTCATTTTCCTCCTTCAAGCCTCAACTACTCCAGAGCTTTCTGTTTTATGTGCCATCTAGAGGCCTGGCCTCTGAAGGTGGCCCTTTCTCTTTACCTCTGTGTCACATATAGCCCAGCACCTAAAGCCTACCTGGTGTTGCTCATGTGGTTGGATTGTTCAGAGAGGGGGATGAGAGGGACTGGAGTCTCAAATCCTTCAGCACAGGGAGATGCTCTCAGGTCCGTGACCCATATGTTCTATGTTCTGTCCTTACCCCTTGCCATGCCAGATCCTTCGTACCTACAATGTCCTGGACATGAAGAACACAACCTGCCAGGACCTTCAGATTGAGGTGACAGTCACAGGTCATGTGGAGTATACAAGTGAGTGCTGGGGTCCTGAGGCCTTGAGCCTGAGGGACTGATGTGGGCTGAGTGGCCTCCAGCCCCTCACCATGCTGCCCTGCACAGGGGAAACAAACGAAGACTACGAGGACTACGAGTATGACGCGTTTCTAGCTGGGGATGACCCAGGTGCCCACTCTCAGCCTGTGACACCCCTGCAGCTGTTTGAAGGACGGAGGAACCGTCGCAGAAGGGAGGCACCCAAGGTGGCAGAAGAGCAGGAATCCAGAGTGCAGTACACTGTGTGTATCTGGTGAGCACCAGGAGCAGCATGGGCTGTGCTAGGGCATCTGCCAGGTCAGGGGCAGCAAGGCAGGACCTAGGCTTGGGCTAGGCATCTGGAAGGTGGCACATGTGCCACCTGGACAGCAGGCTACATCTCTCCACAGGCGAAATGGCAAGGTGGGGCTGTCTGGCATGGCCATTGCAGACATCACTCTCCTCAGTGGATTCCGTGCCTTGCGGGCTGACCTGGAGAAGGTATGGTCAGCTACCCAAAACAACCCCACTATCTCAGGAATCCTGCTCCGTCCTGGTAGCACTCTAGGTTCCAATCCCTGTCCTGTCATGTTCAAGGCCCAAGGCCACTGACCTGTGACTGTCTCCCCTTCCCCACAGCTGACCTCTCTCTCTGACCGTTATGTGAGTCACTTTGAGACCGATGGGCCCCACGTCCTACTGTACTTCGACTCGGTAAGTGGGGAGAAATGACACAGGCAGGGAACCGATAGTACTAGGATTATTAAATGTGTTACGCAGTTTCTTAGGAGACAATGGCTGGGACTCTTGGGAAATTATGACATAGCAGGGAGCCAGGACAAGAGAGTAACCCATGTGATCCACAACAGAGCAAGGGACACACCTCCTAAGATTATGACAGGCATTATATTGGTGATGAGGATGAGGCTTTCAGGAGGGCAGTTTGGGGACAGTAAGAGACCCTTGGAGAACTTTCAAATCCTGCTACAATCCTAATGCAAGGATGGGATTGAAAGTTCAGCTTGGGACTCATCAACTTGGAAGGGTTTGGTGGAAGCCAGAGAGTGAGGAGAGCACCACAGGGCTCAGAGTTGGGAAGAGCTAGGGCTAGGGCCTATGCTCCTGGAATAGAAAAGGAACGTCTAAGAAGTGACCAGGTGAAAACCAAGGCTGGTTCAGAAGCAATCCCTCAGCATAGGAGGTCTCTCAGAGGCTGAGTCCTTGATGTAAGACTCTGCAGAGGGTCTGGTTAGCAGAGACTGGGACAAGGTTGCCATCTTGGCAGTGAAGTCATTAAAGACCTTGTTTAGAGTTCTAATGACAGGAAGTTAACAAAATGTGAAGGATGCAGAGATAAGATCAGTGGCAACCAACCAAACAGGCCAAGGAAAGGCAGCCAGCGGATTATGGCCTGCGGAGTAGGTCTCTCCTGATCCCCCTTCCTCACTGGGTCACAGGTGCCTACCTCCCGGGAGTGCGTGGGCTTTGGAGCTGTGCAGGAGGTGGCCGTGGGACTGGTGCAGCCAGCCAGCGCAGCCCTGTATGACTACTACAGCCCCGGTGAGCACTCAGCAATGCCCTGACATTCAGGGGAGGTTGGGGTAGGTACCCTAGTTTGAGACATCAGGAACTAGTGCAGTGAAGGGTGGCAAGGAGTCCTGGGCTCCATAGGATGGAGAGGCAGAGGGGAGGAGCATTGTCCTAAGTCCTTTTTCTGCTTTTCTCTAGAGCACAAATGTTCTGTGTTTTATGGGGCACCAAGTAAGAGCAAACTCCTGTCTACCTTGTGCTCTGCTGACGTCTGCCAGTGTGCTGAGGGTGAGATGCCAGGCCTGGGATGGTGCTATGAGCCCAGATGTCAGGGCCTGCCAGGTCTCACCTGGGTCCTCTATCTCAGGGAAGTGCCCTTGGCAGCGTCGCGCCCTGGAGCGGGGGCTGCAGGATGAGGATGGTTATAGGATGAAGTTTGCCTGCTACTATCCCCGTGTGGAGTATGGTTAGTCTTCCCCCAGGATGGATCCTACCCTTCTCAAGGTCCAGCTACCTTGGCCTCTCCTGGTTGCCTGCTCCTCCCACAGGCCCACCTGTGGCCTCTTTGCTCTGACACTGACTCAGAGTAACCAGCCTTCCTTCCCTTCCCTGTGCCCCCTCCTAGGCTTCAAGGTCCAGGTTCTCCGAGAAGATGGCAGAGCTGCTTTCCGCCTCTTTGAAACTAGGATCACCCAAGTCCTGCACTTCAGTAGGAAGGGAACTTGAAAGGGATGGGCCACAGGGAGGCACAGAAGCCATGGTTTTGGGTGTAGGCTTTCAGAATCATGGAAACTCAGACAAATCTGAGCACAAATTCCCTCATTCCTTAGGAACCTGTGCTTGCCCATAACAGGGAGTGATAGAATCTACCATCGAGAGCAGGGTGGCTAAATGGCAAGATCTATATAGAGTCCCTGACCCTGTGCCTTTCTTGGCCTTCCCTCCCCCTCTGATGGCTCCTCTGCATATTTTTTCTTCAGCCAAGGATGCCAAGGCTGCTGCTGGTCAGACTCGCAACTTCCTGGTCCGGGCCTCTTGCCGCCTTCGCTTGGAACCTGAGAAAGAATATTTGATCATGGGTCTGGATGGGTCCACCTATGACCTTAAAGGAGAGTGAGTTATCTGGCCCCTTCCATCTCTTGCTTTTCTCACACCTGTGAACCTCCATTAGGGAGCAGATGCCTGGCAATTAGTCCTTGCCCTCAGAAGCCAGTGCCTCATGTGCCCATGAGGCTTTTTTTTTTGCCCATCTTCCTGACCCCTGCTATGGTATTTTTGTCCCCTGCAGTCCTCAGTACCTGCTGGACTCAAACAGCTGGATTGAGGAGATGCCCTCTGAACGCCTGTGCCGGAGCACCCGCCAGCGAGCAGCCTGTGCCCAGCTCAGTGATTTCCTCCAGGAGTACAGCACACAGGGGTGCCAGGTGTGAATGCTGCTCAGCTGCTGCCCCAGGCAGACCTGAGCTGGGAGAAGTGGCACATGGCAGTGCTGCTGCTCCTGGGCCCCTAAACACAACCATGTGGTTTGGGGCATAATAAAGTTCTTTGCAAAGTATCAGCAGGTGTCTCTCAGATTGGAGCAGGACCCCTCCACTGCCCATCCCAGGTTCTGGGGGCTCAGGTCACATTTGTATAATCTTAGACTTTCAGAGCCTGGGGGATCCTCCAACTGTGCAGCTCTGCCTGACCCCTTCCTGATCACTCCCTAGACTTAGTCCATCATGGGACTTGTTAGCTGGTGTCCCAGGACCAGTGTCACCCCTAGAACTTCCTTCAGTGTGCTCCCCAGGTGCTCCACTGCTGGATATCACTAATCACTGTGGCCTTGGGCAGAGTTTAGGCTCAGTGCACACCTCAGCTCCTTTGCCACAGCCATCCAGCTCCACATCCCCCACTCTGTCCTTGTTCACTTGGCAGTTCTGGAGTCTGTTGAGTTGAGCTGACTCCTGGTCTGTTGAAAGCCTGTTGACATTTGCTGTTGTTATCAATGGCATTAGGTAACTTTTCCGGAGTTGTGCAACCTTCAGGTCTAATGATGTCTTCATCTGGGCACTGATTTTAAACAAGCCAAAGGCTGACTGTGGTGTGGCTTTTAATACTATGGAAGAAACCCTTGAGGTCTTCAGGGGTGACAAATCCGTCCAAGGAAACTTAGTGTGATCAGTCTTGATGGAAACTGAGACAGTTCATCAATTTGCCATTCAGTTGTTCAACAAACACTGTCACTGCATGCCATGTCCTATGAAAGGTACCAGAGATATAGCTACTCCAGGGGCTCATTGTTGGGGGAGACAAATAAGGATGGGCAGTCCCCATCCACTGTGAAAAGTATGATGTCAACATATTTAACCAAGTGAAGGAGAGTGCCAGAGAGAGCCAGGAAAGGCTTCCTAGAAGAAGTGACATCTGAGCTATATTCTGAAGCTTGAGAAGGAGTCAGGCATTTGAGGGAGAAGGAGTCAGGCATTTGAGGGAGAAAAAGAAAATGTACAGAAGCCAGGGGCAGGATAGAGCACATTTTGGGGCACTGTGTTTCATTCATGTTGGGATTTGTATTTGGAGGTGGGGTTGAAAAGATGGGATGGCGAGGTAAGCAGGAAAAACTTAAGAAAGGATTTCTACGAGCACACCAGCTTTCCAGTTCATTGTTTCAAACTGAGCCCCATCTTCCATGCATCTTTGAGAAGTCTGACCTTAGTATTTCAGAGCTTCCTGAGGCTGGCCCTGCTCCTTGGAGCTCTCTCAAAAAGTCAGTCATCATGGTGGTGGCATACACCCATTTGCCAGAAATAGAGATTCAGCTGCAGTTGTGGCCAGATATGACCTGGGTCTGTGAGGTTGACCAGGAAGAGGATGACCACTGTTGCTGTCTGACTCCAGAAATCCTACCCATCTTTTCTCCTTCCCAGGAATGGGCATGGATCCAGGCTAAGCCTGGGCCTCTTCCATGAGAACCCCCAGCTATAGCTCATGTAGCTAGGGGATGACACAGCTGGGTTCTCACCTTAGGCTCTCCAGTGGCAAGCCTGTTCTCTGGGCAAAGCTTGGAGGGGAAAGGGGCCCCCTGGATACTGGGGTCTGTCTACAGAGCCAGGATGGAGAATTGGGGGTCAGGCTAAGCTCTCACACATCTGGGCAAACTTGGCCTCTCCCTAAGCCCTTCTAGGCCCCTCAACTATCTCCTTACCAACAAAAGGGGTCCTTATGTCTACATTCCAGAATACAGCCAGACCCTTGAGCCATCTGTGCCTATCCAACTCCTTCCTGGGGGCTTTGGGATTGATGGCATGCTCAGTAATGGCAGGAGTGCACACTCTTCCTGGGCTGGTCATATAACCTGTGGACCCTGAACCTGAGAGCAGCTCTGTTCTACCTGCTCCTGGAAGTTCAGGAAGCCTGACTACAGGGAAAGAGCATGAAGACATGGCCTGCCCCAGGACATTTTCTGTCTCCTTTCTCTGGCCTTGGAAGGCCAATGAGGTCTCCTTCCCTACTTTCCTGTTCTTGGGTTCTGTGAGCTACCCCTGTATTTGTATGTTAATTCTTATTTTTATTATTAGCCACTTATATTTGCAGCCAGAGATGCTCCTAGAGACTAAAGGTACAGCTCCTGCAACCTGATTGCTAGCAGAGTTCTGGCGCTGCCCCTTTCCAGCTGTGCACTTGGGCAAGCTACTCAGCCTCTTGCCTCAGCCTTTTCATTACAAAATGGGGACAGTAACAGCGTCTTGTACTCAGCATGGCTGTGAAGGGTTGAGTTTATCGAAGCACTTAGGACAGTGTCTTGTAGGTGTCAAATGCTCCAAAGTGGGGCAAGGGCCACTTCTTTGTCTCCTGGACACTTTTTTGTAGTTCTGGGGATCAAACCAGGGCCTTACACATGTTAGACAAGTACTCTATCATTGAGTGATGTCCTCCTAGTTTGTTTTATTTTGGCAGTACTGGAGTTTGAACTCAGGATCTCACACTTGCTAGGCAAGTGCTCTGCCACTTGGGCCAGTCACCAGGCCTGTTTTTGTGTTGGATTTTTTCGAGATAGGGTCTTGGGAACTATTTGCCTGGGCTGGCTTTGAACCATAACCTTTTGATCTCTGCCTCCTGAGTACCTAGGATTATAGGCGTGAGCCACCAGGGTCCAGCAAACCTTGGTTTTTTGAGACTAGGTTTTGCTATGTAGTCCAGACTGATCTCAAACTCATGATCCTGCTGCTCCTCCCAGATCCTGGGATTACAGGCGTGAACCGCTATATTCATCTCTGGACACTTTTGATAGTGAAAGGAACACTATTAACAGTGCACAGGGACTACATGTATATACTGAGATACCCAGGCAAACCAGGCCATATGGTCACAGCATCTGTAAGATAAACCAAAGAAAAACTCCGCACAAATCACTACTATCTTACTTTGTTCCTCAGGCAATCCCAGAGGGTCTATAAGGCAGGGATTGCCAGTTTTCCTTTGAGACAAGTTCATCCTACTAAGCTGGTCCAAGGCTGGGTATAACAGGAGAGGTCCAGGGCGAAGTTGGCCACCTTAGTCCACATGGTTGATATGGAGCTGGAAAGCTCATTCTGGCTGATTCTGAAAAAAGGTCAGGGTTTTGTTTCCTTTCCTTTGTTCTTGATAGTTTGTCCTTTGAAAGGTAGACTCTCCAAGGCCAGCGAGACTGGTGGCACTCTGGAAATGTGCCACTGTGTGGGTGGGACAATGGGAAGGGACTTGAGGGTAGGGATCAGGGAGGCCCCAAAACAGCCTGAGCAGCAGAATGGATAGCTGAGGCTCAGGAGCTATAAGTGGCTGTGACAGAGCCTTGGTGTCTGGCCATGTTGTTCCTTGGGCTGCTGCTGCTGCTGACGCTGCTGGCTGGCACCCGCCTGCTGTGGAGCCGGTGGAGGCTCAGGAGCCTGCACCTCCCGCCTTTCGCCCCAGGCTTCCTGCACCACCTGCAGCCTAACCTCCCCATCTATCTGCTCGGGATCGCTCAGAAACTAGGGCCCATCTACAGGCTCCGTTTTGGGCTGCAAGGTGAAAGCTGGTTCCTTCCCTGGTCTACCAAGAGAGGTCAGAGGTTGGGGTGTGGGGGGGTCCTTCCTTGCTGATGCCTGCTCCACTCTCCCCCAGATGTGGTGGTGCTGAACTCCAAGAGGACTATTGAGGAGGCGATGGTCAGAAAATGGGCAGACTTTGCTGGCCGACCCCAGACACCATCCTGTAAGTGCTGGTAGGCTGGGACACCTCTTAAGGGTAGAAGGGAATGGGGAGGGCAGAAGAAAGTCAGGCTCTTGGCTTCCTTGGTCAGTTCCCATCTTGCATCCTCACTATCCCACCCACAGCCAAGCTGGTGTCTCAGCACAACCAGGACCTGTCACTAGGGGACTACTCCCTGCTGTGGAAGGCCCACAAAAAGCTTACCCGTTCGGCTTTGCTGTTGGGCATCCGAGACTCCACGGAGCCCCTGGTGGAGCAGCTGACTCAAGAGTTCTGTGAGGTGAAGCTGGGCTCGCAGCCTGGCTCTCCCTGGGGTCAGCCTCCCCTCAGCCACAGCACCCCTTCATTCTCCCTCTCCCCAGCCTGCATAGCTCCTGCTCTCTTCCACAGCGTATGAGAGCCCAGGCTGGCACCCCCATGGACATCCAGAAGGAATTCTCTTTCCTCACCTGCAGCATCATCTGTGGCCTCACCTTTGGAGACAAGGTCAAGGTTGCCCTCTTATTCCCTCAGGCCCACCCCTTAGTTCCTCCCTGGCCCTCTCCAGGATTACAACAGAAAGCATTGCCTGTTTTTCTGGCAGGACGACACCTTGGTACATGCTGTTCACAACTGTGTCCAGGACTTGATGAAGGCCTGGGGTGACTGGTCCATCCAAATTTTGGACATGATTCCCTTTCTCAGGGTGAGGAGGTGGAGCCGACATCTCTGGGTCCTGGGATGGAGGAACAGGCCTCCAACCAGCAGCTGATTCTTACTTCCTGCCCCAGTTTTTTCCCAGCCCAGGTGTCTGGAAGCTTAAGCGGCTCATAGGGAACAGGGACAACCTTGTAGAGCAGCAGCTGAAGCGGCACAAGGTGGGAACTACACAGACCAGGTTTTCCTGGGCTCCAGTCAGTGATGCTGCTGCCTCCCATCACTGCTGGAGAGTCTTTCCAGTAGTTTCCAGTTCTGGAACTGCGGCCCCACCTCCTTCCCCAAGCTGGGTATTCAGCCCAGTCCCCTGCCCTCTGCAGGAGAGCCTGGTGGCAGGCCAGTGGAAGGACATAACGGACTACATGCTCCAAGGAGTAGGGCAGCTGAGAGAGAACGAGGGCCCCGGACAGCTCCTTGAAGGGCATGTGCACATGTCTGTGGTGGACCTTTTCATTGGTGGCACTGAGACCACAGCGACCACCCTCTCCTGGGCCGTGGCCTTCTTGCTTCACCATCCTGAGGTGTGCCCTGGGAGTGGGCAGAAGGCCCTTTCTTAGCAGCTGGCAGCTGGGCAGCTGTGAGTGGGCCAGTGCAAAGCTTGGCCCCTGGACTCTAAGCTTGCCCCTGCCTTCCAGATTCAGCGGCGACTACAGGAAGAGCTAGACAGTGAACTGGGCCCTAGTGCTTCAGACTCCCAGGTCACATACAAGGACCACAGGCGTCTGCCTTTGCTCAATGCCACCATTGCTGAGGTGCTGCGCCTGCGGCCTGTGGTGCCCTTGGGCTTGCCTCACCGCACTACTAAGCCCAGCAGGTAACTCAAGGGTTAGGGATGAGGGTTAGGGTTAGGCCTGAGCAGGGTCCTGGCCAGCCTCTAACCCCACTTTCCCTCAGCATCTTTGGCTACGACATCCCTGAAAACACAGTCATCATCCCCAACCTCCAAGGTGCAAATCTTGATGAAATGGTCTGGGAGCGGCCTTACGAATTCTGGCCTGGTATGTTGGGGGACCAGGCATGGAATGTGGAGGAGGTCAGTCCTGTGGCTGCTACAAACCTCCCTACTCCATTTGCCCACCCACCCACAGACCGCTTCCTGGAGCCTGGCAAGAGCCCTAGAGGGCTGTCCTTTGGCTGTGGGGCACGCATGTGCCTGGGAGAGCCGCTGGCACGCCTGGAGATTTTCGTGGTGCTGGCCCGCCTGCTTCATACCTTCACGCTACTGCCGCTTGAGGGCGCCCTACCCTCTCTTCAGCCCCAGCCCTACTACGGTGTCAATCTCCTGATGCAGCCCTTCCAGGTGCGGCTTCAGCCCCGGGGTCTGGGGGTCCCAGGCCTGGCCTAGTGCCAGTGATGGGTAGGACTGGTGCCAGCCACATGCCTCAGTTTCTCTTTTATTGCACCGTACAAACCCTTCCCCTCCCCCCCCTGTAAACATGGTGCTGTGAGATCGCGGGCAGAGAAGGCTTCTTTGAGTGGCTGGATGGTAGAAGCACCCAGTTCTTCTCTGAGCGCAACCCCTCAGTGCTCAGCAGTCATACTGGGGTGCAAAAGAGGTGGGCAGCAGCTCAGCCTTCCCTGGCAGGGGACCGGTAGCTTCTTGGTCTCAGCTTCATTTCCGTGAAGGGCACTGAGAACTCGAAGCCCTTCCAGTGGTACCAGCTCACTCCCTGAGAAAGAGTTTGCCAAGTGAGAGTCGAAGCTGGGTATCTCATCTGTTCCTACACTGCCCTGATCCCCAGAAATATGTCCGCCTCCCCGCTCCCCTCAGAACTCTGCAAAGGATTGAGGTTATTCCTGAGCTGGCCTTATCCACCCGATAATAAACACTTTTTTCAAGGTAACTCAGCAAGGTTGGCATTATTGTCCCATTTCACACATGAAGCCCTGAGGAACAAAGTGGCACAGTCACATCCTGTCACATGACAGGGCTCCGTCCCAGGCAACTGAGCCCCCACCTCCTAAACTCTACTGCCTCTCAGCCTCCCACCTGGTGGTCCACTGTGCTCCCGTAGAGCCCGTTGAGGTTGGCATAGTGGCAGTTCCTGTACCACCAGGCCCCTCGGTAGGAGACAGCGCAGGAGATGAGCAGGTTGTTGGGGTCTCGATCACGGGCGGAAAAGACACTGCCACTGTGGTAGCTCATAGAATCCCCTGGTAGGGTGTGGGAAAGAGTGGTGAGGGCCACTCCACACTCCGCATCCCATCCTCCTTGCGTGGTCCACCCTCACCTGCAGTGCCATGGTAGCCCTCCAGGTGGAGGCGGTAGTTTTCAGCAGCCGAGTCTACTCGGAAAGAGTCGTACTGGGCGAACACAGCCTCATCCCCAGCCCGCAAGTCCACGCGCATGGAGTAGTCCCCAGACTGTGTCAGGCTGTGCAGGGCTTCATTGCCTGGGGGAGGAGTGTACCTTATCAGGATCCTGATGTTCTCAAGGTCCCCTTCCCTTTCCTGGTTCCTCAATCCCTGTGAGACACTGACCCAGCCAGAACTCCCTGGAGATGTTCCCAAAACCATGGGCATACTCCTCCCAATCTCTCCAGAAGTCTGTCTGTCCATCCATGCGGCGCTGGAACACCTGGAAGCAGGTAGGGGCAGCATCAGCCTCTGACTAATGGGACAGCAGCCCGTGCCCTACACCAATGCCTGAGTTCCCTCCCAACCCACCAGCCAGCCGCCCCCATCAGTCTCCATGTCGCAAAACACATCCAGAGGCCGTTCCCGGTTGCCGTTCAGGAAGATGGTGGTGGTTCTTGAGGTGCTGGCCCCATTCTGCATTTCCTCCCCACAGTCCCGGGGGAAAGGGATCCGCAGCCCACCTGGGGAGAGGATTAGGGGTCATCCTTTTTCTAGACCTCAGGCCCCTGCTGCTCACCCAAACTCAGGTCCCAGTGCCCATTACCAGTGGTAAAGGAGGTGGACACAGGTGGCATTAGGCTCTCGCCCCACACGGCCTGGAGTCGGGCATTGTAGGTGGTAGAGGGGAAGAGGCCAAGAAGCCGGTGTGAGGTGACCCCTGCCGGAAGCAGGATCTCCTGTAGAAAGACAAGATGCAGGGCAGGGGGAGGGGAGACCTATGGTGAGCCAGAGGCAGCACCTCCAAGTCCACCCGGGGAGGGAAGGAGCCCAGTGGAGCAGAAGTGGGGCACCTGGGTCTGTCCTCCAGCAGTGTCAAAGCTGAGCAGGTAGCCTGTGGGTGGGGCCTGGGGCTCAGTCCAAGTGAGCAGGGCTGTGCGGGCAGTCACATCCTTAGCCTCCAAGTCCCGGGGGGCCTTCAACCCTTAGAGGAGAAGGTTGTAAAAGACATGGGAATGAGGCCTATCCTGGCTGCCCTGCACCTCCTCACCCACTGCCACACCCCTGGAAGTACCCGTGGTGAAAGTGATGCTGGCTGGGGACGTGAAGTTGGGGCCCCTCAGGCCGCGCACAGTGGCAGTGTAGTTGGTGTGGAGGACGAGGTCACGCAGCGGGTAGTCCACTGCACTGCCTGGTGCTGAGTCCTGCAGAGGTGGAGCTGGGAGTGGGGGTAGGCATCAGCTCCTGGCCCCTCAGTGCCTGCCCCCTGCTTTCCCACCCTGAACAAGTCCTCTCCAAGGGAAGCCTCAGTCTTGCTCACCCCCAGGGGCCATGACACGGACGTTGTATTTGTCCACAGGGGTGTGGGGGGGCTTCCAGTGCAGCAGGGCAGATCCTTCAGTCAAGTTCAGAGCACGCAGCTGGGTGGGGCCATCAGGAACTGGAAAGGTGGGGGGCAGGGCTCAAAGGGGTCCCTGCTTGTCTCCCTACCCTTAACTTTCCAAAGGCCACAGCCATTCATCCACCACTGAAGCTCCAGTGCCCCCTTCCCCTCCATGTACACTCAGCTCCCATCCAAACCCTGGTTTTCTCCTCCCCACCACTGGCCCTGGCCCAGTCTCTCTCACCTGTAGTGAGGACACCTGTGAGAGGCTCACTCTCCTCAAAGCCACGGACAGAGACCACGGTCACCTCATAACGAGTGCCTGGGATCAGTCCCTGGAGGTTCTGGGAATGGGAATGACCATCCACCTGCACACTCTGTGGCTCTCCTGGAAAAACAGTGGATAGTAGTAGGTTTCCTAGGCAGGCTGAGAGTAGCTGGAAGGCAGAGGGCAGAGGGCAGGGAGCAGGAGAAATTATAGCAAATGACATGACAAAAAGGTGTCACCTCCATCTGCCAGTTGGTAAGAAACTTTGAAGCTGTCCACCCGGGATGGTGGTGGCACCCAGTTGACCTTGGCTGAAGTCTCCCTGATTTCGCTGAATTGGAGGTCACGGGGGCTTTCTAGAACTGGGGATGTGGGTAAGAAATGATAGTGAGGCAGAGGTCAGGAGTCTCCTGTTCTTTTTCTCTGGACCCCCCTGGCTCCTGAAGTGCTCACCACTTAGCTCCCCCAGGCCATGGAACTAGAAGTTACTCTGTAAATTCTGTCAAGCCTCCAACTCACCAACCCCTGCTGGCGGAGGCACTGTGTCCTACCCGAAAAGTCCTTGCTTTGGTACAGTTCATGTGCCCAGATGGGGGCTTACCTGGGCTGAGGGTACGAGCAGTGCCCTGGATGCTGTCAGCCTTGTGAGGGCCGCGCAACCCATATAGAGTAAGGCTGTACAAGGTCCCCGGACGCAGGTCCCGGAGCACAGCTGAGCGCCTCATCCCTGGTACCATCAGCTCCCTCTGTAGCAGAGGACGCAGATGTGGCTCCAAGGTGCTGGGTGATGGGACCCCAAAACGGAGCAGGAAGGAGTCAAAGGCCCCAAGAGGGGCCTCCCAGTTGAGCCTCAGAGAACTGGTGGTCACATCAGTCACTGAGAGTTGAGAAAGGCGGGGCCCTGGGTCCCCTGAGGTCTGACCAGCAGGAGCCGGCCCTGCAAGGGAGTAGGAGAGAAGGGTTTAGACTCAAATGCACACCAGCTCTGTGGCCTGGGGCAGGGCCATTTTGCCATCCTCCTCCTCCCTGCCCTATTCTCATGAGTAAATTGGAGCTAGTTGAGGGACTTGTGTCCACAGGTGGCACAGCAGCCATGTGGGAGCAGAGCCAGGGGCTGCACAGAGGCAGGGGGTCTGTCCTCCTCCCGGATGCTTCTTTGTGCTGTTTCCCTGCGATCACCATTTCTGGGTGCCCTCTTTTACCCTTCCTAGTCCAGACTGGGACGGGCTAGGACTGGTGGTACCTGTGGTGCCCTCAGCAGAAATGGGCCCCTGGCGCTTCCCTTCATGCAGGCCATAGAGGAAGAACTTATAGGAGGTGCTGGGCTCCAGTCCTGAGATGAGGACCCTGTTCTGGTCACCATCCACGAGCAAGGCCTGGGGCTGCCCATCTGTGTCCAGATACTGGATCACAAAGGAGTCAAAGGGGCCCTGGGCCACAATCCACGAGAGGTGCAGGGAGTCTGGGGTTGCCTCAGTCACTGCCAACAGCCCCAGGCGGGGCACTTCAGTAGGCCTGGGGGTCACTATGGCTGGTGTGTCCTCTTCTGTGGCTGCATAGGAGAAGCCCAGGGAGAATATGAGTAAAGGTGCCACAGGGACCCTGCTCTGTCCCCTAAAACCGGGGGCTGTGAGGCTGGCCCAAGGCAGGGGGAGACTTTTCAGGTCCTGACATGGCAGCCCAGGAAAGAAGGGAGGTATCAGGACTTTCTAGAACTTTCCAGTTTTTCATTTTTATTTGGTGGTACTGGGGTTTAAACTCATGGCCTTGTGCTTGCTAGGCAAGTGCTCTACTACTTAAGTCTTTCTCCCAGCCTGAGAACCTTCCTATATTGACTCCTGTCACCCCTGGGGACTCTCTGAGCCCCAACACTGAGGCCTGTCTCCTGCTTGGAAAGTTGCAGTGACCCCATTACTCCTTCCTGGGCTTCTTGCCGTGTTCCAGGAGTGTCCCATAGAACCCCACCTCTAGATGTCCACACAGGCTGTACCAGAGCCTCACCCTGGGTTGCCTGTGCAGATGACCTAGCACTTGCTGGGCTTAGGGCACATGGTGCTCATTCTGAGAGCAGCTGATGGTGGCACTGACTAGTGAACATGCCTGGCAAATCACACCAGTGCATGCGTGTGCCCCTAGCCTGGCTGATCTGAGGTGGTCATCAGTGGCCTCCAGAAGAGAAGCTGATCCATAAATGCAGCCATTTCCATTGGTTTCTGTGTCCTCTGCCCATTGTGTTTCCCAGTGGTTTTCCATTTGAAAAAATGCCCCTGACTCATCCAAGGCAGGAGGTTTGCCCTATCTGGGCAAGGCTGCCCTGCTGGGAGGGCAAAGCTGCTCCAGCAGGGCAGTGGGGAGCAGTCACATAACAGGGCAGAGTGGGATGGGGAAAGCAGGAAGTACTGCCAGGGCCTTTCCTGCCTGCCTGTACTGCTCCAGCTTTTGACTTATTGTGATCAACAGCCTGAGTCAGTGACAAATTCTTCCCTCCCCAGGGCCTTAGTCAGGGTATCTTTTTCCCCACTTGTCCACTCCTGCCAGTCCCTTTGTCTTCAGCCTGAAGGCACAAGGAATTCCTTTTAGGCCTGCTTCCTAGTGCAAAGCAGAATAGCCTTACCTGTCACTCCCAGGGCAGAGACGGGGCCCAGGCGCTTTCCTCCAAAGAGCCCATAGAGCAGAAATTTGTATTTCCTGTCAGGCTCTAGGCCCTCTATGGTAACCTCGCGCTGGTCTGCAGTCATAAGCACTGCCTGGACCTGCCCATCGCTGTCCCTGTACTGGACCAGAAAGGAGTCAAAGAGGCCCTGGGCCACTGTCCATGAGAGTTGCAGGGAATCTGAGGTCACGCCAGTCACGGCCAGTTCCCCTAAGCGGGGTGAGGGCTGTGGTGTCTTCTCCAGGGGAGCTGTGGAAAGAGTCAGGGAGATTTTTAGTCAAGAGCTTCCTGATCCCAGCCCTGGCAACTCCCGGGAGGTGCAAGGCTGTGAGTCCCTGGGTGTGGTCTCAGGGGCAGCCGCTTGAGGTCACAGACACGCCTGCCACAGTCCTGCCCTACAAGAACAAGGTAGAGCAGCCCTCTCCCCTTCCCGCCCTGTGCTCTCCCTGCTATGGTCAAGGGCTCAACAAATACATAAAAGATTGCTTTGTGAGAGAGGGGTGGCTGAGGCACAGAGAGGACCTTAATTTTTTCTGGGCAGGGCTGTGGCCAGAGCTGAGAGACTCCCAGGGGGATCTGGGTTGTCAGATAACCATCAAGTGAGACAGCTGGGCTGGGAAGCTGACCAGCTCATGGGCTCCCATGACCACCCTCCAATTACCATCAGCCTAGGCCATTTCCCCATATACTTCCCCAATCTGGAACTAACACCACTGGGTCAGAACCGCTGGAGTGGGGCAAGGGGAGAAGCCAAGGGCAGAGATGGGAGAACAAAGTGTAATGCTGAGGCTGCTTGTCCACACAGGGGCGGTTTTTACAGATGGGGGTCAGAGAAATCCCCAAGTACTAAAGTGAGTGTTCAGGGAAAGAATTAAAGACTCTGAGGGCCCCAGGCCTTGACTGGCTGGCCTGGGTGACTCATGGTCCTGTAAGTGAAGTGAAGGTCAGTGACCCACTCCACCCCTTCCTTGGGGGGTTGAGTCACGGGCACAAGGACACCAGAGTTTTCCATAGTTTTTCTGCAGCCAAGCCCTCCCTTACTTTCCACCTCTTGCCTCAGGGTGGGAATGGAGGGAGGAGAATTGGCAAAACCAAGTGCCAGTGGGGATTATTCATCACCATCACGCAGGTGAGGAAGCCAAGGCTCAGAGAATGAAGTGGCTGATCCAGGGTCACAAAGCTGGCGAGAAATGGGATTGGGGATTTTAACTCAGGTCAATTTAGCAAAGCCTGGGCTCTTTTTCTTTCCTTAGCAGGCAGTGAATGAAAGGAATAGTTCGGATAAGAGTAGGGACTTCCTTTTAGTGTTCAGCCCAGGCCATGGAGCCAGCTCTCAGGCTTCAGATAATGGGAGCTCTGGAGGTAGAGCTGAAGCTCACCTGTGGTGCCATCCACAGAGATGGGGCCCAGCCGCTTCCTGCCTGTCAGGCCGTAGAGCAGGAACTTATATTTCCTATTTGGTTCCAGACTGGAGACGGTGACCTCACGCTGGTCTGCTGCCACTGGCACTATCTGGGGCTGCCCATCCCTGTCCTTGTACTGAACCATGAAGGAGTCAAATTCACCCTCAGGTACCGTCCATGAGAGACCCACGGAGTCCCGGGTCATGCCTGTCACTGTCAGCTCCCCCAGGCGTGGAGAGGGCTTTGTTTCTGGAACTGGAAAGGAGAGGGAGCTTCATGGAGAGTGATAACAAAGGGATTTGAGCAGAGACCTTGGAGCTGGAAGAGGCAACTGGGTCAGGAGCCAACAAGGAAAGAAAGAGTCCCTTAAGATGTACTGAGGCTACCTTTCTCCTACGGAGGAGGAGGGAGTGAGAGGGAAGAGGGACTCAATGTCTAGATGTCAGTGAACCTGATGAATCAGTGAGTCATGAGGCCCTGATGTCTGCAGTATTGGACCCATAAACATGACATTCCAACAATCCCTACAAGGAGGCGAAGACTGGCCAGGAACTCAAGGGCCCAGGGTGGCTAGACCCTCACTCACTGGTTTTTGCTTCAATGGAGACTGGACCATGGCGCTTCCCATTCTGGAGCCCAAAGAGCAGGAACTTATACTTTCGGGCTGGATCCAGCCCCAAAATGGTGACCTCGTGCAGGTTTCTGCTCACAGGCACTGCCTTGGACTGCCCCTGTGCATCCTTGTACTGGACCAGGAAGGAGTCAAAGAGGCCCTGGGCCATGGTCCACAACAGGTGCACAGTGTTGGAGGTCACCTCTGCCACAGCCAGCTCCCCCAGACGGGGTTCCACAGGGGGCTCTGTGGGCAGGAAGGCTGAAACAGAGTAGAGGAGGTTGAAGGGTGGCGGCAGGACCTGCTCAGGGAAGGAGGATTTCCCCAAGGCTGTGAAACTGCATTTCTCCACCTCCTCTGAAGCATTTCCTGAGCTTCAGGCATTGCCGTAGGCTGTTCACACCCAGAAAACAAACCCTCACATACATGGGACTCAGGTGCTATATGTTATCCCCCATGTTGCAGGTTCTAAGACCACAAGGATTAAGAAGTGCTTGCAAAATCACACAATCCAGTTGAAGGCAGATTCACATCCAGGCAACTCAAATCTGGAGCACACTGAGTCACTAAACTACACAGTAAGGAAGCTCAGAGTGCAAAAAATGAGCAATTGAATGACTTAGAGGTTCTGCGCTAGTGGACGGAGGTAAGCTAAGATGGAAAGGGCATAGACTTCATGCCCTTCTGATTGCATTAAACCTCCCTTAATTCAAGGATAAGTGGGACCATTACCAAAATTTAGGAAAACAGGACATGGGGGTCCTGTGGTAAGAGGCACTGAAAACCAGAGGGGAACAAGAGAGAAATAGAGGGAACCAAGAGGTAAGGGCTGGCTCTCACTCACCAGTAATTCCCATGGTGGACACAGGGCCCACTCGCTGTCCCTGGTGGATCCCATACAGGTGCATCTTGTACTTGCGTCCGGGTTCCAGGTTCCCCACAGTGGCCTCCCGCTCCTCACCTCCAACAGGCACCACCTGGGGCCGCCCATCCCTGTCCTTGTACTGGACAGTGAATGGAGTCAAAGTGGCCCTGGGTGGCAGCTCAGAGAGGCTCAAGAGTCCTGTTGGGAGGATCCTGTCAGGTCATTCTCGCTCCAGGAGTGCTCGTTTGGAGGTCTCTGGGGCTCTGTGCTGGGTTTCTGTGGGGCTGGGAGTCTCTTCCTCTGCAGCGAGAATGAAGACAGAGAGGGTGAGGCAGGGGCCCCAGCAGATGTCCTTAGGTCTTGGGAAGAAAGAGAAGCCATGACACTGCTGAGGTCACTTTAAAGAATCCCACCCTTGGGGCCAGGTGATTCTGCTTGGCTGCAGGCTGACAAACCTGCCCAAGCTCCAGAGTCACCTGGGGGTCCTGGACGGCCACCAGCATAGGAAAGATACTGTTGGTTCCTTCATGCGGGGGAAGGGAAGGACACACAGGAGCCATAGCACTAACCACAAGCAACCTGTGGGTGTGGCCAATATAGTCACTGCTGTCTGTTCAGTCATCATCAAAGAGCAAGAAGGCCCCCATCTTAGCGGTACAATCTTGAGGCTCCCGTGGTAAACTTACCTGTCACCCCAATGGCAGATACAGGACCCACACGCTGGCCACTGTGGAAGCCATACAGGTTCATCTTGTACTTTTGATCTGGCTCCAGACCTGAGATGGTGACCTGGTCCTCGTGCCCTGGCACCCGCACCACCTTGGGCTGCCCGTCCCCATTCTTGTACTGGACCAGGAAGTGGTCAAACTGTCCCTCAGGGATTGTCCAGGAGAGG